GACAACGCAGGTTTGACTATGCATCATTCTGGTGTGAAATACTAGGAAATTTACTGAAAACGTTTCTAATTAATATCATGTTCTCACACTTTGGAGAATCCTAACTTTTAACAGTTAATTAACAGACTTAATACTCACTCATAATCAGCAGTTGATGGTCCAGGTGTATCCTTCCTTGATTCTTCAAACTGAACAATCACTCCTGAGATTTCTTCACCATTAAATAAATGAGAATGGATATAAAACCGCAATTTTTGTTCAGAAACATAAAATGAATCTAAAAATAACCCACGCCGGAACAAAACAAAACCAGTAACGAACTCGCCTTTCACCTAGCCGACCGGGGTTCGATTCCCGGAACGGACGTTAAAAGGTAAGGGGTCACCTGCCCGACCACGTGGGTTTTCCCCGGGTACTCCTGTTTCCTCCCACAATAAGACCCCTCGCGCGCTTACATCCGGACCAACAAGAGTGATTAGTATAAGTTGACATAACTTGTTTCGCAATTGTTGTAAAATAAATAAAGTTTATATTATTATTATTATAAACCAATATCTGCTTTTACAGCTGACAACAGGTATGCAAGATACAGAACTTTTCAAGGTGATGACAGGAAAATATTATCAGGTTAAAAAATTCCTAACAAATCTAGATCAACATTACTAGAAGGGATGTTCATTAGTAAATCCGATTCCATAAAAAAATTCTTTTGGTCACAGAATTACTGTGGAAATGCTCACCACAGGAAGTAAAGAAAAACTAAATCATTTGAGTCCTGTATCAATCATCACTCCATGGACGATACAACCTATTGCGAGGTATCATACTAGTAGAATATTTGGACAGTCAAACTATGAAAGACCATACAAACACATATATCCAAAATTTATAACCTGAACTAAGAAATAACAATTTTATGTCAGGATGATAAAGATGTCATTGTGATATATCAAACTTTGTCCTCTACTTGCGCTGATTTGGCAGTAAATTCAAAGACAGCCAAGTCCTCAAGTATACATGAAATTGGTAAATCTCTGTATTATATAATAGTATAATAGGAAATTTCATAAAAAACATTTTCACATTAAAGCCAATGTTATTAACAACTTACATTAGAGTGACTTCACTTTCTGAGCATTCTGTTAGACCATGGCTCAGTCAGTCATAGTGGTACTTGGTGCAGCAGGGCACCATAAGACTAGTTACAGTGTCAGCTTTGCCCAGGTGTAAGTAAACGCTAAGGACGCTTTTATGTTCCAGATGATGAGTAGCATTATCTAATACTACTGTACATCCGCAGACAGTAGACACGAGGGACAATACCTGTATACACACAATAAACACCAGGTTATCCAGCACACAGAAGCAAGGCCAGGGCCAATGTCTTATGTTGTCCATCTGAGGGAACATCTCAAATCTTATTAGCTGGGCTACCTTTTCCTAACTTGGCTGTCAGTACTCTTGAAATCACAGTAATAGACCAGTTTATTATTGTAGTTTTGAATTGAGAAGACATCCATTTTAAACATCCTTCTACACTAGAGCCTGCAATTACAGCAGCTATTGAAGTTTACGCCCCCAAATCATATGCAAGATACAGAGCAGGCCAGTATACATGTATGTATGGATACAGATCTTCAGACATCTCAGGAGCAAGAAAGAGATTTGGCATTTCTGTTGCTTGAGAGTTTTGAGAAACTAGTGAAACAGCTAGAAGAAACAAGGGGAGGTAACTGTAGGTGCAAACGATGCTTAAAGTATTAGGAAAAGGTCATTGGGGGAAAAACAGTCAGAAGGAAATACAATCTAGCACTTTTTCTGATAACTATTCGGACAACAAGGAATATCAAATAGCAGTGAATATTGCAATACTACTTTGTATCATGATAGTTTTTAATGCCTCCGCCATAAACTCCAGGGAATATTGCATTGTCTACGTCCTTCTTATCACCTCGCATCACAATACTCTCATTCCTGTTCCGATTCAATGTGACCACCTTTTCCTTTTGGTCAAACTTTATACAAAGGTCAGTTATGAGTATACTTTGGACATTGTTGTGTTTCAAGGGCCCAAGGTCAAGGCCAAGGTCACCATTACTATTTATAGAAAATCATCAACTGATTCAATGGACACTTTAAGTAACTTCATTCTATCATGTTATGCTTTACCAAATTTCATGAATGTGTTTAAATTGAATCAGCTGTTGATTTTCTATATATAGGATGGGTGACCTTCGCCTTCACCTTGGCTTACTATCGGAAGGTAGTAACGCTATTTTTTGGGATAAGTATGATATACAAATGCATTACTCTAGTACAGACGTAATAACTTCTACACATGAGCAGCATATAAGTAGCACATAAGTTAGAAATGTATGCAAATTAATTAACACATGAGCAGCAAGCTAGTTTGCGTTAGCAAAGACATTGCTCACCTTAATGCTCATGCGCAATGACTTACACACATAAGAGAAACGATGCCTATATATTGTTAATAACTTTGCCAAAGTTAGTGACCTACATAGCAACCTCTGTATAGTATTCTGTACTTCATACCCAAAATCTTCAATTTCAAATGTAAGAAAGTATGGCAGCATGTTGGAATGAACCTAGCTCCAGAATTTAATGGGATTTAAAGATGAATATGGCACTAGATGACGTCATTAGTATTCCAGAACTTCAAATCGGTAAAGTTCTCTATTATGTATGCTTTTAAAAAGAAAGTTCTACTAAAGCTATACCATACAATATATAAATGCTCTTGAGTATGTACTGCAATTGGTCTCCTAAAAACAGGCAATGTTGTTTTTTATGATGGGATGACAAGATTTGTCAGTAATTCACTAAACTGATAATACACTTTATTTACCTCATTGCAATTCTTGATAAAATTTGAGTTTATTCTGCCAAAAACTTTCATGCAATCATTTAAATGGATTTAGAAAGTCTAGTTTAGCTCAATATTCGAAATTCAAGAGACCATGTAGCTGAATCAAGTGTAGCAGTTTTTCGGAAGTATTTCAGATTTGGGAGTACATTCTTTCTGTGCATGTTTCAAAGAATTTTGCACTTCCATTGTAATCTTCTATAGGAAAACCCAAAAATTAATTGAGGGTGCATGCCTGCCCCTTTATTTTGGAAGAGGGGACCCTCATATGAGGGTTTCTGAGAACTTTCTCTCCTGTGAGCATTTTTGCACACATTAGTTTATATATTGCAAATGAGCTTTTCTGCTTATGTGAACATCTTTCTCATATGAGCAATACACTCACATAAGATTGCAGCCTCAATCAAAATGTTTAAAAAGCATGAACCGCCTATGTTAGTTCTCAAATTAGAATCTCGTGAGCAGCTCATGTGCAGATTGTGAGCTAATTTTGGTATAGGAACATTTGACATATAATACACATTTTTTTCTTTGTTAAACAAAAACCCATTTTTTGTTTGTGTTTTTGGACTTTTTTTCTCCAGCGTTAAGTTTTTGTGTTTAGCTCTGCTTAGTGTGTTGCTATGTAGTTGATCCTGTACTTTGAATTCTGATTTCTTGCAAAGATACTATTATGGAATGATATTAAATTACTCAAAGGATTAGTATTTTTAAAAAATATTTGCAATGTTTTAGGACTTCACTTTTTAAAGCCTTATATGGTGTATGGATACTCTAAAGTCAAAATAAACTTCAGATTAGTATTTCTAAAAAGATTAGAGTGATTTTTGACTTAAAGTATGCAAATAAATAAAGAGTATGTTTGAAAGAGAATGTTGGTATAAAATTTGATTGAATGTTTATACTAGGGGTGTTTAGGAGTATGTAGCTAAGTAGCACGAACCGAGTTACAAAGGGACAAAGACATATCATTCTGTAGGAAACAATTCACATTTATTAATTTGTTCCCATGGTTTTAGATTTAAGTTATTTAATACCGGATGTACTTTAATTATACAGGACAAGATGTAGTAGTATTTCCAGTACACAAGCAAAGAAAATATCATGTAGTTAACTTCCAAACCCAACATGAAGTTTGTGAAGTGTTTGGCTTCAAAAATCTCAATCTCATTTTTTAACAAGGCTTGAAAATAACATTTTATCAATGTCATTTCCTAAAATCTCAGACGATTCTCAGCTCAATGGTACCAGTATATCAGGAGTTCACGTTGTATTTATCAAACTGACTTTGACGACAACCATATTGGATTTTGAATCAACCCAAAAATAGAATCATTTGGTCAGGATCATCTTGGGCAAGTTGACCTGAATCCTGCAGGTGGATCGTGTGAAGAAGTTCAGTGAAACAAAGTTGATGCAAGCACCTTGCCAAATGACTGCCATATCGACAAAGCTGAAAAATATTGACACTTTCTGTGCAACCTTTCCTTAACAACCTCACAAATTTTAAGTTCAATGGCACCAGTGGAACTTCAGAATACTTGAAAATTTGTTTTTTTTGCGATGGTGGTCATATTGGATTTTCGACCAACGCTTGTCAGGATCATATTGGAATTATTTCAGCTGAACCCGATTGGTGGTGGAATTTCAGAAATTCAGACAAGGCAGACGGTGCATGACAACAGAGGAAACAAACATCTCCAGGAATAGTGACAGCAAAGTGAATGAATCAGATATATCAATTGATCAAGTCACCATCTGACGATGGTTTGTTATAACAGGAGTCCCATGGGTCTTAACGGTCATCTAATATAAAATATTTCAAAGATTTCAAATTTTGAACTTGAGAAGAAGTCGAAAATGTTTTTTCAAGATGGCGGCCATGTTGGATTTCGGACCAACCCGAACTTAGCAAACTTTGGTCAGGATCATGTCACAATCATTTCAGGTAAGTTTCAGCTCAATGAGACATGTAGAATTTGAGAAGAAGTTGAAAATGTTTACAAAATACGACGTTACGACGCCGGACAAAAGGCCATCGCAATAGGTCATTAGACCCTTCGGTCAGATGACCTCAAAAAAAAATAAAAATAATAATAATAAAAAAAACAAATGTAAGAAGAAATTTTTTATTTAAAAGCACTTAGATGATAAATGCTTAAAACAGTACAAGACACAGAATATATATATATATATGATCAGGTTGAATCTATATTCATTCAAAACTAAAAATCATCAATCATTTCTATTTAAAAAGTCTTCATGATTGCATACATTCCCAAATTAAGAATACTTGCCAAGTGACATTTTCCTTTGTGTTAATTACCTATACATTCAGCTGAATATGAAACAAGGTCTAAGGACCTTGACGCTCACCCTGAGTTCTACAACAAGAGGCCGAGTGGCCAGTCACCTGAATGAGAATGTGTAGTATAAAACAGAGAAATTAAGAAATGCTCTTTGTACAGGGACAGAAGTTTTACTTTAAGACCCGTTCATCCATGAAAATTATTTGATTTTACAATATCTGGGTATTGAGTTTTGAAATTTTAGTCCCTTTGATCCCTTCTGACTATACCCATCAACCCCTCTGGGTGAGCCAGGGTCAATATTATACATAACATTTAACAACCCCTCTGGGTGAGCCAGGATCAATATAGTGCATAACATTTAACTGTCACCCTAAAACTTCTAACCAAGTTTGATCCTTTATGAATGGAAAATATAAAAATTATGCTTGAAAATGTAATATAATGCAAGACCCTGTGGTCATGAATTTACAATTTTTGAAATTTCAGTCAGTTGGTGGGGATCACAACTGTTTCAAAAATCCAAATGAATTGTTGATGGCCCAAAGCAATCATATGAAAATGAACTAAAAACTACTGGCCCCAGGGCGCTGAAACCTATGCTTCATACAAAACTGATTTCCATTCACCCAAGTATGCTTCAGACTGAATCTGGAAAATATTCTGCAATTCCTGAAGGAAAAAAAATTGATTTTAAAGAAATTGATAGATTTTCTATAATGAACTCTGCCCATTTGGCCCAGGGGCCAGAGACCCACTTGTTAATATTAAACTGATTTCCCTTCACCCAAGTATGCTTCAGACTAAATCTGGACAATACCCTGCAATTCCTAAAGATCAAGATTGATTTTAAAGAAATTAATTGATTTTCCCTGTTGGGCCCCTGCCCTGCAGGCCCTGCGTGAACGCTTACCAACCTTGAGCATCTGGGGCCTGATATATCAAATTATATGCACTGAACATTTTGGCCCAAATTTTTATCAAAATTCAATAAAGTCCTGATAACATATGGGCCATTACCCCAAAGTCTGTGGAGATTATCATTTGTGCTAAAATAATGCACACATACATACATATTTTTGTATATTGTCAATGACATTGGTTCTTAACTTTAGTTTTCTGAACATGTAATGCAAATAATGTAAAATGTGCTTATCTTTAAAAGTGTCATCCCTAATGTTTTTTGTCAAACTGAAAATAATGGGGCAGTTGAGGTGGAATAAGATATCCACAATTCAGTAAAGCATCTTTAAAACCCTTCCATCCATGAAAAGTATTTGATTCTGGCGTAACTGGATCTAGAGAAGAACATTTTTGGAATTCCACTCAATTTTCCCCTTTTCCTCTGTCTTCTTGGATTGAGGACTTTAAAATTCACAATTTTAGTTCACCTTCAGCAGTGGGAGGGGCATGTCATGTATCTTCAATTTCAATTATGTATTGACAAATGACAACGAGCGATAGGCGATTGCAATCAGTCACTAGACTTTGTCTCTGGTGACCTAATAAACTACGGTATTTAACAGGTAACCTGCCACACACATGAATATCAATGAATACTCATAAGTTAACAACTTCAGCCCACAAGAAAACCCCAAGGATCACTTTAATTTAAATTACTGAAAGTCTCAGTGCCACATTTTAACTTAAAATGGTTTAGCTGCCAGATCAGACATTGTAAATGCATAAGAACCCCACTTATGAGTATTCATACATAGTCATTCACTCATTTAAAATGTACACAAATCTTTTTATGATGTATCCTGAATAGGTGTAAAGTATAATTGCTTTCGTTTCGAGAAAACCGTCTCTTAACACAAAATATTTGATAACATGAAATCAATTTCACTCATAATAATTTACAGGCTTCGGACACATTGCTGTATGTACATCGAATCAGCTTTCTCCTTAATACAATGTACAGGCCAGCGTACACCCTGTATTTATAATGTCGGTTTCAAAAATTCTTCCTAACTATTTACAAACTATCATCTAAAGGTGATTAAGGTCAGTCAAATCTACACTACTGTAGAATCTATGTATGAAGGACGGACAGCCTAAGAGGAAATTAAAATGCTATCAAAAACAGAACACACAACAGCATATATTGCAGTCGATTTTTTTTTTTAAAAATGAGCAGTACAAGAATTGTGCTATTAAGTAGCAGAAGAAGCAGTTGTGAACATTCCACATATAAAATCAACCAGTGTTGAGCACCTAGTCATGCTGATAAAAAATTGTTGATGTTGGTTGGTGTGTTTCTGTCTCCAGGAAGATCAGATGTTTGCCCTCATTTGATTATTACTGTCTGTAAACTTCCACAGAAAAGACCTTATTAAATGCTGATTTTAGTGACCGACAGTGCGAGACTGCAGATCACTATCATATTACAGGTACAGCTATGAATTTGGTTATGACTTTAACTCTCCAGCAATATAGAAGTAGGAACCTTAATGTTTTTGTTGACAAAGTCCTCTTCACTGTGAAAAATGACTTCATGGACAGAGGAAAATTCACAATTTTTTCAATGTTAATATATGACAACTATGAAAGTATTTCCCTATTTGAATAATTCACCCTGCTGAATTGATGATTGAATATTTGTTGACATCGTTAAAAAACTGATACAAGGTTTATAAAATGTCAAGTTATGTTTAAAGGAAGATTTCTCAAATCGTTTTAATTTTAATGATTATTTTGAGTTTAAAACTTCTCTAATAGTACATCTTTCAATTGCAACCACAACAGAACAAAGTATTATGATGTATAACTACAGTCCAACTCTTTTATCACTTGATAACAAAAAATCAGCAGCTGTAACTTTCCAGGTACACTAGGGGTTTTTTTACAGAAGGATCTTCAGGGAAGAAATTAAAATTTACATCTATAACTACGACAGCTTCTAAATTATACACTTAATCAAAATATAAACATGTTTAAAAACAGGATGATAAGTCTGCGAGAACAATACTCTAGTTGATAATTCAAGACCTTCACAAATCAATTTAATTGCCAATCAACATATCTGGTATGAAAAACAAGTGAACTGAGACTCAAATTGATAATGTCAATATGAACAAAATCTTTGAAGGGTTTCATCAGATATCTTTACACAAGCTTTCTGCTTAGGTTGGATGTACCGACAATTTGTCAGCCGTAGCTAAATACCCCTCTTCAACAAGCGTCTCTATTTCTTGACATTGTCAGCGGTTACTACAGATATAATTTCAATAACCAATTAACGAGAGCACCTACATTCTACAATCACCAAGAAGTAACATTTCCAAGCATACAAAAATTAACACATTATTTAACAAGTGTTCCAAGAGCATGCATTTTCATTACAATTTCAATATTACTATTAAATAAAGTTCACCTGATATCCAGTTCAGAACTTAAAAGATTTTGTTACTGTCTTGTATACTAATCTCTGCTTGGAGGTCTCATTTTTCCGTTAATTGATATGTGGTCTCATCAGAGGCGACGTGGTCAACTGAACAATCCATAGTCAATTGTTCTTATATAGGCTAACAAATTCTGTGTAGAATGTAACAAACAATATTCAAGTAAGACTCCTTTTATGCTATTTACACTTAAAAGAACATTAAAGCAACATATTAAAATGGCAAAAATAAAATCCTCTAAGGTTTCTAATGTCAACCGAACATGTCAAAGGTAACAAAGTATTAAAGTATGAAATTTTCAACCAGTTAGATTTTAAGTAACAAAACAGTAAAATGGTTACAATTTGACCAACAAGATTGTTGGCCGGTAGTGAATAGGTTTCAAGTTATATAACAAATAAGAACAATGTAAAATTCAACAGTTTTTACCTTAAAATGATTTATTAAATGACTTAACTACACAAAACATTACAATTGGTCACTGGTAAGCTAAAAATGAACAAATCAAATTGCAAGATGTATTATACAAAATTGAAACCCTTTTTTGCAATATTTGTGACACAATCTATGATAAAAAAATAACAGGCCAAAATGTCTTCAGTAAAAGGTCCAGAAGCCACATGGACTGATTGTGATTTTGAATGGAGTTGTCTGCCCTTGAATCTTGTGTTCTTGCAAGGGTGATTTCATGGAGGAATGAGTGAGTGTAGACTGAAATTATCATGTATATAGGGTCGGACGTCATCCTTCTGTAAAGTTTCAAAAATAGATTCTGTCAAAATTTAGTCTCTAGAAGTTTTTGTAACAGTAAGGCTCTATTGATTACTTGTATCAATGAAATGAACTCTGATTTAAGAAATTATTAATCACAGCTTCAATTGATTATAACCTGGCAACTTATGTTTAGTTACTGGTAATTCTGGAAGTGACAAAAAGTTCACAATATCTTATAGTTACTGGTACATTATAAAAGTGACATAAAATTTGCCAGACCCATAGTTACTGATATCAGTGCCAACGTTATATGATAATGTAAAAATAAATTTTCTATGTTTGTGAGCAAAGTCAATGCACAACCCAGCTGATGGAAATAATAATTAAGAGAATGTCTACACAGTTATCCAAACCACTTGTCAGATTTTCATGAAAATCATACAAAGACTGAAGGTAAAGATATTCGCATAAATACCCTAGAAATAGCAAAGCAAAACCTACAACAAAAGACCAAGTTGAAGAACAGGACATTACTGAACTTCTTTAGATATAAATTAATTTTTGGAAGAATCACGTGTAAAAACACGAATTACTTACATCAATGAGACTCTCCAGAAACGGCACAAGGTTGATGAGTTCTCTGTCTCTTTTATCCATAAACCAGCTCACGATAGGGATTCCATTGTCGAGCTGAACAGGACAGAGAAAAGAACTTTACTACCATGTTTTATATACCACTGTCTGTCCTAAACTAGTATTATATACCACTGTCTGTCCTAAACTAGTATTATATACCACTGTCTGTCATAAACTAGTATTGTATACCACTGTCGGTCTTAAACTAGCATCATATACCACTGTCTGTCTTTATCATCAATACCACTGTCTGTCTTTATCACCAATGCCACTGTCTGTCTTTATCACCAATGCTACTGTCTGTCTTTATCACCAATGCCACTGTCTGTCTTTATCATCAATATCATATACCACTGTCTGTCTTTATCATCAATATCACTGTCTGTCTTTATCATCAACACCATATACCACTGTCTGTCTTTATCATCAATACCACTGTCTGTCTTTATCATCAATACCACTGTCTGTCTTTATCATCAATACTATATACCACTGTCTGTCTTTATTACCAATACCATATACCACTGTCAGTCTTTATCATCTATATCATAAACCACTGTCTGTCTTTATCATCAACACCACATACCACCGTCTGTCTTTATCATCAATACCATATACCACTGTCTGTCTTTATCATCAATATCATAAACCACTGTCTGTCTTTATCATCAATACCACATACCACCGTCTGTCTTTATCATCAACACCATATACCACTGTCTGTCTTTATCATCAATACCACATACCACTGTCTGTCTTTATCATCAATACCACTGTCTGTCTTTATCATCAATACCACTGTCTGTCTTTATCATCAATATCATATACCACTGTCTGTCTTTATCATCAATACCATATACCACTGTCTGTCTTTATCACTAATATGAAATACCACTGTCTGTCTTTATCACCAATATAACAAGATATAAGTTACCTGGTAACCAAAGGCTTGAGGAGAATTGTCAATGATGATGGTTTTGGTGAGATCCCGCCCTAGTATTGTTAGATCTTTGATGTAATTCCCATTCACACACAGGCAGTGCTCCCTGAACAACCTATGTCTACAACAAAAGATTCATACATTACTGACAAAAAATTATCAACATGCATATTTCTCACACATCATAAATAAGCCTTACTGCCACAGAGACTGGTTCAACAATTAGTAGGTTTTGTGCGATACAAATCTCTAGTTATTTCAGACGTTTGTTATCACAGATATTATCAGTGGTAAAATGTTTAAGGTCAGGCCTAATATAGACTGAAGACTGCTGACAGGAATTGGATAGGAAGAAGTGAGAGAAAGATAAACAGGATCTTTTCCTAGCTTGAGGGTAGGACAGAGAAAGTGGAGATTCACGACTGTCTAGCATGCAGTTTTAATACTTTTGTTTTTATTTTGACCAATTTGTAATCTAGATTTACACATTGTACAATGATAATCCTAATGATAAATCACAGCGATAATGCATTGAAAATTATTTTATATAAACAACAATGATAAGACACTGTCTTAAAATCATATCTAACTTGTCTTAAACTGTCAACATAAATCAGTCTCTTGTGTCTGAAATTAACACCTTCTGGTTTAACACATGTTTGTGTTTTGAGCATGCAGACTTATCTTACCCTCACCAAAAGTGTAGATATTTCAATGGAGTCCAATAGAGTAGAAAAATGTTTCCTCTTTTCAATATTTTGTAATGTCACACTCTGAAGGAATCAGGCCATATACAATCTGTGATATCTACTTACTTGATAAAACGTTTATCAGGATCCAGTAAATTCATAAGCTTGTCTGCATAAACTTTCTTGGAGGCAGTGAACAATATCACTTCATATAGTTTGGAGACTCTCTCCAAGAACTCACGAAAGTGGGGCCGGGTACGTACAAACACCTGGAACAAGTAGAACAGATAAATAGTAAATATGTAAATACCTGTACACTGAAAAGTGAGGGCCAGGAAATTCACAACTTTGATGAAGGACTTTAAAACTCTTAAAGAGTACCTAATTCTATCATGCTTGGGTGTTCACAAGATTTTTGAAATTTGACCTTTTTTGGCCCTGTCCCTCAGGTCCTGGGGGTAGGGACCAACACAAGAAAGGTCCTTGGGGGTGGGGACCAACACAAGAAAGGTCCTTGGGGTGGAGCTGATAGATGCTCCCCTAAAAACTATATCTTAAACTAGAAAATGTCTGTAAGACATGAATGCCCCTGTGAAATAATAGTGAAAGGTCCGAATGAAGTTGTTAGGTGGTATATACTGATTTGGGACGGGACGGGACAGGACGGGACGGACATGGGCAACGCTATATGCCCCCAGCCATAAATGGCGGGGGCATAAAAAGAGCAATAATTCAGTAATTATGGGGTTTCAGGCACTGAATTTAATACACTGTACATCCTCTTCGTATGATCAATGTATCCATCAAGGTTCATAATCCTAGTTTTAATGCAAGTAAATTTAATGATCATGACACCAAATTTTAATACAAGGCAATGACTCTGATATCAAGGGGTAGCAGGCCCTGGATTTGATGTACTGCACATTTTCCTGTATTTTGTACAATACACATCATGTATCGACCATGTTGAATGATCCTACTTTAAATGCAGACCAAGTAATACTACGGATACAAAATTTGAACAAAAGGCAATATCGCAAGATTAAGGGTTTGCGGATCTGAACATTGATAAACTGCACATTGTCTGTGTATGATCAATGTATACACCAAGTCTCATTATCCTAGTTTGAAAGCAAGCAATCTAAAGTTGTTCTCTGGACGTGAAATTTTAACAAAGGGCAATAACTCTGTAATCAAGAGGTCAAGGGCTCTGACTTTGGTATACCTTAACTTTGTATTACCAATATATACACCAAGTTTCATGATCCTTGCTTAACTGTGGGCAAAGTTATGATATGGTTATGAAAGACCGGATGGAAAGATTGACGGACAGACAAAAATCCCCTTAAACTTTTTAAAATGTTCTTGAAAACAGCCATAAGCAACCATTGGTTATGTTGGTGCAACCTTTGTTCATATTTCAATTTCAGAAATGAGGCAGAGGAACTTGACAGTATAATATTTAGAAGTAATGCAGAATCCTCGCCACAAATGGCACTCACATAATTATGTTCTTGACAGTGGCTGCATCATCATTGCTATTAACTATTAACTAGTCAATTTTTCACACCGAAACTTTACCTGATAGGTGACGTCTTGAAACAAGACAGGAAATGTGAATGCAGCGTCCTCCAGCTCTGTCAGGCTACAATGGACCAGGGTCTCATCCTGAAAACCAATTCTCAAAGATTATATTTATCGAAGAACTTTTTTCAAAATGGTGTTCAGTTATGCAGACTGTCAATTGTGAATAACCTACATACACAACCAGACAGACAGTCCTTTGTGATAACCTACATACACAACCAGACAGACAGTCCTTTGTGATAACCTACATACACAACCAAACAGACAGTCCCTTGTGATAACCTACATACACAACCAGACAGTCAGTCCTTTGTGATAACCTACATACACAACCAGACAGTCAGTCCTTTGTAATAACCTACATACACAACCAGACAGACAGTCCTTTGTGATAACCTACATACACAACCAGGCTGACAGTCCTTTGTGATAACCTACACACACAACCATACAGACTGTCCTTTGTGATAACCTACATACACAACCAGGCTGACAGTCCTTTGTGATAACCTACATACACAACCAGACAGACAGTCCTTTGTGATAACCTACATACACAACCAGACAGACAGTCCTTTGTGATAACCTACATACACAACCAGGCTGACAGTCCTTTGTGATAACCTACATACACAACCAGACAGACTGTCCTTTGTGATAACCTACATACACAACCAGACAGACAGTCCTTTGTGATAACCTACATACACAACCAGACAGACAGTCCTTTGTGATAACCTACATACACAACCAGACAGACAGTCCTTTGTGATAACCTACATACACAACCAGACAGACAGTCCTTTGTGATAACCTACATACACAACCAGACAGACAGTCCTTTGTGATAACCTACATACACAACCAGACAGACAGTCCTTTGTGATAACCTACATACACAACCAGACAGACAGTCCTTTGTGATAACCTACATACACAACCAGACAGACAGTCCTTTGTGATAACCTACATACACAACCAGGCTGACAGTCCTTTGTGATAACCTACATACACAACCAGACAGACAGTCCTTTGTGATAACCTACATACACAACCAGGCTGACAGTCCTTTGTGATAACCTACATACACAACCAGACAGACAGTCCTTTGTGATAACCTACATACACAACCAGACAGACAGTCCTTTGTGATAACCTACATACACAACCAGGCTGACAGTCCTTTGTGATAACCTACATACACAACCAGACAGACAGTCCTTTTTTTATTCTTCATGACTTAAAAGGTATAATACTTACCAGGTCAAGAACAAGAGAGAATTCGGGAGAACTCCTGGTCTTGAGAGGTAAGGCAGGCATGCGTACACGCAGCTCTTCAGTGAGTGGTGGCAGGTTCTTTATAAACAGGTACCTACAACAAGTGATGAATTACAATCATTTACAAGTATTATTATTTATTGTCCAGAGATTCTGTAGCTGATATTGTACATTTTCCTTCATTTTGATTGGCTATTTATAGACACATTTAATGTTATTACTTAGTAGTAATATCTATGCTCCTTTTCTTCCTTTGATGACTCACGTCAATCTTTCAAATAAGTGTATCATGTACACCAGCCTCTCAATAAAGTGTATCATGTACACTAGCATCTCAAACAAGTGTATCATGTACACCAGCATCTCAAACAAGAGTATCATGTACACCAGCATCTCAATTAAGTGTATCATGTACACCAGCATCTCAATTAAGTGTATCATGTACACCAGCATCTCAATTAAGTGTATCATGTACACCAGCATCTCAATTAAGTGTATCATGTACACCAGTGTCTCAATAAAGTGTATCATGTACACCAGCCTCTAAATTAAGTGTATCATGTACACCAGCCTCTAAATTAAGTGTATCATGTACACCAGCATCTCAATTAAGTGTATCATGTACACCAGCATCTCAATTAAGTGTATCATGTACACCAGCATCTCAATTAAGAGTTTTCACAGGATTAGCTGATTGCTGCTGTAAGAGGGAGATGGTTCAACTGAGTGTTAGCATAAGAATATATATATATTTTTCTTTTAATGCCTCTGCTTCTTAGAAAGCCAACAATACAACAATGCAATTAGAAGGAACAAGGTACACTGGAATAATTTATCATTATTATTATGGTCTTAATGGCCCGTCGACATGTAAAAGGTCATTAGGTCATCAAGTGGTAAACAAGGTAATAAAATCCATTCACTGTTTAATAGATTTAATGTAGAAGCAGTATTTCTTCATCCAGACTTCCAGTTATCTGGAAACCACTTGCAGAAATGTTGTTTTGGTCAATTCTTTTCTATTTCGCAGAAATGTTGTTTTGGTCAATTCTTTTCTATTTCGCAGAAATGTTGTTTTGGTCAATTCTGTTCTATTCTAATTCTTTTTATTTCAATGTAAGCAAGATTCCCTTATCTAGTAAATCTTAAATCTTATGTCTATCTAAAATATCTCATTTTCATTTCTTCACTAAAAGTTGGGACATTTTTCCTTCTTTCTCTTGTTCTAGCTCTTAATAACATGAAATTTGAAAAAAAAAACAACTAAGAAATAGCAATGATAGTCTTCTACTTCCAAATCCAAGAATGTTTGTTAACAGATGGAGCACAAATTAAGGTCCTTCTTCAATCTTTTAGCCAACCATAATCAGATGGTCGATTTTCCATCAGAACAGCACCGCACAAAATCCGAACTTGAGTGAAAATATTTAAGTAAAATTTTTATCTAACTCTCTACACTTCTATTGAGTCAAAATAAAAAAACAAGAAATCTTTTTGGAGCAGGGCTCTTTTTAACTTACGGATCAAATGGTTCCACCTCCCAGTCTCCTTCCTCAAACGACTCATCGGTCGTATTGTGTTCCTCTTCGCCTGGATACACAACAATCTCGCCCTCGGAGCCTTCAACCTTCCTGTAATCACACAACTCTCGTGAAACACTCCAATTAACAGCTCACCAAATAACATTCACAGGAATTTGTAAACATATACCAGACTCCTTTTCGTCAAATTTTCAAAAATGGTGATAAACATATCAATCAATTCATATGAAAAATCTGATGATAATAGATATAAGGCAAAGAAACGGTAGAAAACTTCTGTAAAAATCAAAAGTGTAACATCATTTGTTAAGTAATTAAATCTTACCTATAGACCAGGTTATTGTTATCTTCTGCAACCAATCGCTCATCATTGTCAAGGTAACCAACATTGTTTGTGTTGTTATCAAGGCAACCACTACTGTTGTCTAGGCAACTGACATTGTCAAGGCATGCCAAATTATTGTTGAAGGGAGGTTCTTTGTTTTCTTTTGCTAAAATAAATAAAATTTTGCTTTCTATTAAAAAGCCAGTATATGTGAATACTAGTGTTGGGAATCAGTTGAAATTTCCTGATCGATCATCGACTTTGTGTAACCGATCGATGATCGATTAAAATCGATTAATTCTTAATAGTCTGTTTTTGGATATTATTCAAGTCTAAATACGTATTTTGTGTTATGTTTTAACAGTAATTCACGTAATTACTAAAACTGTTGTACCTACACCATCATTTTGTGTGCTTGTTATTCGTTTATTGCACAGAATACTTTTTAATATAAACAAATGTCTATTTTTTAAAACTAATTTTATTAATGTTGAAAATAATTTCAATGTTGAAATAATCTATTTTCATACATCACAATGATCGATTACAGATTTCTTAATCGATTAATTGATCAAACATCTCGAACAAGTGATACTCGATTAAATTGATTAATCGGAACAACACTAGTGAATACACATGATAGCAGTATGAAGAATTATATACAACTCATCACATCCGCCCTAAAAATGATCTATATAAATAAACTCCCATCCCAACACTTTAAATCTTTAAACATTTTCTAAAGAAGATTTGAATGCTGAGTTAAAATGTTTATTCAATGTTATTGAAAGGCTGTAAAATTAAAGAGTTTACAATTCATATAAAACATATCATATTTTATCATAATACAGAAGTGTTTGTATAGACGGACTACAACACATCAAATTTTATCATTATACAGAAGTGTTTGTATAGACGGACTACAACACATCATATTTTATCATTATACAGAAGTGTTTGTATAGACGGACTACAACACATCATATTTTATCATAATACAGAAGTGTTTGTATAGACGGACTACAACACATCATATTTTATCATTACATAGAAGTGTTTGTACAGACTCAGTGCTCCAGATAACTTTTTGACATGTGGGGTTTTCACATCATATCATAATACAGAAGTGTTTGTATAGACCTGCCTACAACACATGTATTTTATCATAATACAGAAGTGTTTGTAAACATTTTTACAACACATCATATTTGCATATACAGAAGTGTTTGTATCACGATGAATACAACGCATGTTACATATTTTATCATTATACAGAAGTGTTTGTATAGACTGAATACAACACATCATATTTTATCATAATACAGAAGTGTTTGTATAGACTGAATACAACACATCATATTTTATCATTATACAGAAGTGTTTGTATAGACGGACTACAACACATCATATTTTATCATTATACAGAAGTGTTTTTATAGACGGACTACAACACATCATATTTTATCATTATACAGAAGTGTTTGTATAGACGGACTACAACACATCATTTTTATCATAATACAGAAGTGTTTGTATAGACGGACTACAACACATCATTTTTATCATAATACAGAAGTGTTTGTATAGACGGACTACAACACATCATTTTTATCATAATACAGAAGTGTTTGTATAGACGGACTACAACACATCATATTTTATCATTAAACAGAAGTGTTTGTACAGACGGACTACAACACATCATATTTTATCATTATACAGAAGTGTTTGTATAGACGGACTACAACACATCATATTTTATCATTACATAGAAGTGTTTGTACAGACTGACTACAACACGTCATATTTTATCATTAAACAGAAGTGTTTGTACAGACTGAATACAACACATGGCCTGGGAAGTCATGTTTAGTGTACCAAGAACACTGACTATTGACCTGAGAAGGCCATGTTTAGTGTACCAAGAATACTGACTACTGACCTGGGAAGCCATGTTTAGTGTACCAAGAGTACTGACTACTGACCTGGGGAGGCCATGTTTAGTGTACCAAGAATACTGACTACTGACCTGGGAAGTCATGTTTAGTGTACCAAGAACACTGACTATTGACCTGAGAAGGCCATGTTTAGTGTACCAAGAATACTGACTACTGACCTGGGAAGCCATGTTTAGTGTACCAAGAGTACTGACTACTGACCTGGGGAGGCCATGTTTAGTGTACCAAGAATACTGACTACTGACCTGAGAAGCCATGTTTAGTGTACCAAGAATACTGACTACTGACCTGAGGAGTAATCCGATTCGTTATTCTCTTCCACACCGAAGTCAAGTGTCTTTGCAATCAGATCCAAATCATCAGATTCAGCTCCTGGAAGACAAAATTGTGTATTATTGACTTAAAATTGTGAATCTTGATAAGAATATAGTTCTGGGCTCAGGGTTCCAAGCAATGTTCTTTTAATCAAAAACTGAAATTTGTAACCACAAAAGCATTAAAAAAATACATTAGTTGCACACACAACACACAGGATAACTCTCAACAGCCGTTGGAAATTTTGAATACATTTTCCATCAAATCTGTGAAATTTGTGTAAAAATATTCAAGTCACTGAAACAATGTTTTTTTATTATACAAACACAAAATATTTCCAATTGCAGTGGTATTGATATTGGACTCCCAGAACAACATTTAAATATATGACAGATTATAAAGGGTTTATTTACATAATGTAGTTAAAATATGGTGCATGATGACGAATAATGGTTGAGAAGATTTTTGAAATCCAAATCAATTTGACCTCCTTTTGGCCACGCCCATCAGCCCCTTTTGGGTCAGTTAGGATCAATATGGACATACAACCAAATCGTCATCTTTCACTGATAATTCTAACCAAGTTTGAAATATTGCCAATGGAAATAAAACCACGGTAAAAAATCAATCCCCTCCCCATGGGGAAATGTGAGGGGTGAGGACTGTATAATTCACAATTTTGGTTCACTTTAGCTAAGAGAATGTTTCAACTTTTGATTTTTAACTGTAGTAAGTAAACATAAATACTACTCGGAATCAAAAAGCATCAATAGAATCAATGTACAAACACTTCATTGAAATCGGATCAGGAATTTTGAAATCGGATCAGGAATTTTGGACAAGAAGTCAAAAATGTGAATTTTTTATGAATGCTCTGTTCTGTGTAGGGCATACCTTGTCAACTATTAAACAGTTTTAATTCTTCCAACGGATGTTGTCTGGTCCTCTATATATGCTGTTTGCACCTCTTTGAACAGGACTCCTGTATTTCACTAGAAATCTATCCTAGGAAGACTGATGATATTACAGAATCTACCAGTTTCAGAAAACCAGCTTGGAGGAACAACAGCAGATAGGAAGGCACAAGCTAACATTATTCGAATGTCCAGTTTGAGAAAACCAGCTTGGAGGAACAACAGCAGATTGGAAGGCACAAGCTAACATCATTAGAATGTCCAGTTTGAGAAAACCAGCTTGGAGGAACAACAGCAGATAGGAAGGCACAAGCTAACATTATTAGAATGTCCAGTTTGAGAAAACCAGCTTGGAGGAACAACAGCAGATTGGAAGGCACAAGCTAACATTATTAGAATGTCCAGTTTGAGAAAACCAGCTTGGAGGAACAACAGCAGATTGGAAGGCACAAGCTAACATTATTAGAATGTCCAGTTTGAGAAAACCAGCTTACCTTGTCCATAAAATTGGTAGGTAGGAGAAAATATTGTCCCATGGTTAGTAGTTCGTGGAGGACTGGTCGGATCATTGTTTTCTGTCACCTGGTTCAATGGCTTCTTTTGGCCTCCTGCTTTAAAATTGACAACATTTAATCAATTTGAAATCTTTTTTTTGTGTGAAAATAATTCTGTCACACAGGAACATTTCCTAAATCTTTTTTCAAAATCCATAAAGCTTGTATTCCTAAACAGATGTTTCAACCTCTCTTGATATTACATCTGGATGGGCCAAGAAATGATCAGATATCTGAGTAAGAGGTTCTTATGGAGAAAGTTTGGTGATCCAATCAAACAGGATAGGAGACATTCTGGCATGTTTTTCTCTGAATACGTTTAAACGCCTCGAAATAGCATTTTTCATTTAAAACAAGGTCTTTACAGGGCAGTAACCTGATAATGTCATATAAATGACCTTCTGCGAAAGTAAATCTGTAACAGTAAGGGGATTCTTAATGATACAGGATTAGAGATATCCCATAATTTCCAGGTTATAAGCTGCAGCTTTTTTCCTCTGCAGTTGAGCATGCAGCTCACATTTGGACAAAAATAAATCGGCAAAATGAAAAAAAAAAGAAGACTATCTTCTGGATATCGGTTCCAGACCGGTATGTATTTTGTTGAAGTGTATCACATGCACCATTGACTTGTGTGACCTCACTTCCTGATAGTTTTCGTTGTTGCAATATGTCATGCTTCCAGAAAGTTTTTACGAGTACCTGTCCATCACGTGTTTGTGACTAAAACAGATCATCTAGAACTGTCATTTGCAACCGCATACAGGATTATTTAAAGATTGAAATAGAAATAGCATTCTCCGGGACTTAATTAATCATACATTTTAATATGAATCACAATGATATCTTATGAACTTTCTTGGTTGCTTTGGAAGCCATAGCAGAAGTTTACATTAGCCTGTTGCATCCTGGGATAGATATGTTACCAGGTCAAATTCTAGAATGACTGCTGTGCTTGTTTAATATAAGAATGGCTTCGTGTAACTTATAATTCCTTTGCAAGCTTATATTATATGTTTCAATGACAGCCTTCATAAATTGCCTTCTGTTGTCTATCATATTAATGAACTTTGGTCAACATAATGATTACCACACGGTAAGAAAGGATGTGGTACATATTATATGTGGATGAAATAAAGAAATTGCTAAAAACTAGCTCTGTGTACGGTTTGTAGCCCAGAAAATACGGTATTAAGAACAAGGCATTTTATTCTCAGAACTTGCAGAGATGAAAGTGGCTGGCATTGGAAAAAGGCGGAAATCCGCCGATTGGCAGAAATTTTTCATCTCTGTTGTAATTCAACAATAGCTTTCAAACATTCGACTGATGTAAGAGTTATCTTCCTTCGTATTATCAATTTGACAATACCGGAAACTCGGTGCTCAAAACTGCTCGACGTTTAATTTTACAGTTTATAAGGGCATATAAATCGAAGGATTTAAGAACAGAGTTGATGAGATTGCTTAAAAATACAAGAGGCCCATGGGCCTTAACGGTCATCTGACAAAAAGCAAGCCAAACCTAGAAAGTGGGTTGAGGTCATTCATTTGAACAAACTTGTTCTCCTCCATCTTACAGGGCACTCATGGACTTTTGCTTGTTGAAAGAAGTCGTTTGTATATTTTAACATATTTGACCCCTGTGACCTTGAAAGTGGGTCGAGGTCATTCATTTGAATAAACTTGGTAGCCTTTCCTCCCAGCATGCTACAGACCCAATATCGGCACTCATAGCCTTTTGCTTATTGAGATGAAGTCCTTTGTATATTTTAACATATTTGACCCCTGTGACCTTGAAAGTTGTTCAAGGTCATTCATTTGAACAAACTTGATAGCCCTTCATCCCAGCATGCCACAGGCACAATATCAGCAATCTGAGCCTTTTGATTATTGAGGAGAAGTCGTTTAAAGATTTCAACATATTTGGCCCCTGTGACCTTGAACGTGGGTCAAGGTCATTCATTTGAACAAACTTAGTAGCACTTCAGCCCAGCATGTCACAGGCCCAATATCTTCACTCTGAGCCTTTTGGTTAATGAGAAGAAGTTGTTTAAAGATTTTAACATATTTGACCCCTGTGACCTTTAAAGTGGGTCAAGGTCATTCATTTGAACAAACTTGGTAGAGCTCCACCCCTTAAATTTTCTCACTGGATTTGCATCGACCCTTTGGGTCAGATGACCTAAAAATGCATCATCAAGACATACCTAACCCCCCCACTCCTGAAATTTTCTCACCGGATTTGCATCGATCTCAAAAATGACAAAATTTGTCATGAAAAAGTCGAAAATTTTTCATCTCTGCACAACGACCTACTTTTCAACTGCCAGGATGTACCTACTGACCAAGTTTGATGAAGCTACATAACTAGTATCCCAGATACATTCTCAAGAAAATATACACTACTGACAAACAACAGAACCAAGATGTATGCCATGGCAGTTAGAGGATCCCAAGGAATGTATATGAATAGCAATTAAAAAATAGCTCTGCAAACAAACTTGGGCAATACACTCCTTTTGCTTGTTGACAGCCTTATTATAAAATTGGGTTCAGCCTGGACTTGAAAGTTGTTCAAGGTCATTCATTTAAATAAACTTGGTAGCCTTTCCTCCCAGCATGCTAGAAATATCGGCACTCAATAGGCTGTGTAGGTCCAAAGTGGCCCAACATGCCCAGCGAAAATGGTGATCGCTGGTGATGTTGTTCTGCCACAGAGATAATGAGCGGAATGCAAAAGTTCAAGATGGCGCCCATGTAACCGCCATAGAAGAAGTTGTTTAAAGATTTTATTGTGACCTTTAAAGTGGGTGACAAAAAACAATAGGGTTGTGTAGGTCCATAGGTCCAACATCCCCAGCCTAATAAAATTGTGTTCATGATGACCGGTGATGTAGATTTTGGTGATGTTGATCTTGAATAAGCCGAATGCAATTGTATTGTGCGGTGACAAAAAACAATAGGGTTGTGTAAGTCCATAGGTCCAACATCCCCAGTAAAAATGATGATGACCGGTGATGTAGATTTTTTAATAAGCCAAATGCAATTGTGGACGGATGGACAGACAGACGGACGCCGTGCGTGATGGCAATACCCCACACCCTTTCGGGCTGTGGGGTAAAAATTGTTTACAGACAATGGGCCACCAACAGAAAGTGATATAACTACCCCACATGGTCATCTTCAAAAAATGATCGATTGTTACACCTCGTAAGCTCATGTCAACTTTTAGCAAGATAAATTGCTTTGCTCTACCAATATTCTGGATTTAGTAAGAAAGGTTGCTCCTTTCATCTGGTTAGTATGTAATTTGAAAAACCAAAATAAAGTCAGCAGGACTTTAAAGACTTGGTCAGGGAGACCCAACATTCAATTTTACTTGGGAAAGCCATGCCTGGAGAAGAGATTATAGCAAAATGTCCTCATTGATGTTCATTATTGTTTTATACTTTTGTATAATATGGTCCTTACTAGTGTTTGTATCAAACTTGTAGTTTCCTAATTATGCAGTTAAAAAAAAAAAAAAAAAAATTTTGGCCCAATAATAAGTCTGCAGCATTCACCTGGTATGCTATATTCAGCTAAAGTAGAATAAGTGTTAATATGTATATAGAGATATTAACATGTACACCATTTGCTTTCATAGTGGGCACATCCAATAAATTTTAACTAATTTTCACAACAAACAGCTTCTAATAATTGAATAAGAGCCAAGTTCATTTCTTTTTGCAAACATTGTCGAGCTTCATCCTAGGAACCTATCAGTCAATACCATACTTTTGTGCCTTCTGGTTCATTAGAAGAAGTTCCTTAAAGGTTTTAACAAATTTGATCCCTGTGACCTTCCATAATAAGGATCAATAGGTCGTTTCTTTTTTGACTTTGAGCTGAAAAATTTGGCAAATATCACCGATTACATACCAGTTTTCTTTGCTTTGACTGGGTACGGTGTAGAGGAGATCAGAACCTCTTGATCACCAGAACTAAGAGTCTGCGTGTTGTCGTCTTCTGTGTCAACTCTAGTAACAAGCCCTTCCTCCTCCTTTGCAGATGTTCCAACACCTCCTTCTCTGCGACTAAATGGTCCAGAGGACTTTGCCCTCTTCATCGGGGCCCCATCCTGGACCTGAATGCAATTTCAACCAAAGATAAATATCCCCAGATTGCTGGATCTCTACACAAATTCTGAGCATCAACTTTCTGATATTTCCAATTTAAAATAAACTAGAAAGAGCTCATCTCTCATCCTAAGGAACATCCTTCCCCCCTCCTAAGGTCCTTAACCTAAATAATGTGGAGCCTCATTATTTTCAAATGTGTTTTACATAAAGGTGAACATAAGATATAAATTTCAAGGAAATAAGCTCACTTGTAACTACACAAGAATAAAAAAATGAAAATGGAAAGCTATGTGTGTAGGCTGTCACAATACAGTAATAAATTTGATGATACCTCTGTTGACGCCGAAGTGGCTAGGGTGCGTTTGCGACCAGTAGGTTGCAAAGCAACTGAGGATCCATGTTTCCCTGTCTTCTGTTTCCGGAGACGTGTCACGTTTCCTTGTTTGTAGCGTAGCTGCATTGTGGTTTAATGCTACATCCCAAAGAAAACTCTGAAAAAAAAGTATTTTTAATGGACATGAATATAGAAATCATTACAATCCATTGATGAGCTAAATGGTGTCTAGAATTTCTAGAACTGTCCAATCGATTTCTGATCATTGATCACGTTGCTTTAGAAATTTTATATAAATGCATACACAATCAGGGTTTTTCATAATTTTGTTAGTAGAAGGCTGTGTAGTGAAAGTAGGAGGCTGGCCTGCCGTGTACGTGTAGTCGTGTACGGAACATTATTACGGAACTGGATTGGTGTAGGCGGCCAAATGATCAAAGTAGCCGGTCAAATTGGCCGACGACCGGCTTTTATGGAAAACCCTGCACATTAATTATTTTTTTTCCATTGAAGTACATTAGGACCGCTTGAATACTTTGTTTTATTCAACATAATGAATACCAGAATCATGAATCACTGACGGACAAATTTTACATATTTTCTCTTCATTAAAATTCAAGATACAGTCAAAACTCGTTATCTCGAAATTCAAGGGACTGTTGAAAATATTTCGACTTATCTGAATTTTGACTCAAACAAAGTGTATAAATAAGGTTGACGAAATCAGTTTCCTGACATTGATAACAGCTGAGCAAAGTAGGGCCACCATAGCACGCAAACATCGCAGTTTAATCTGTTGCTTGAAATGGCAGTAAATAAACGAATTTATTTTCATTCATTATTTATGTTTATTCATCCATAAAACAAAGTATGTTATAACAACTTCAATCCAATACATTTGTACTCTCGTCCTTCCGACCTGCATACATGTACAGGGGTTGACACTAACATTTTGAAGGCAGTAGCCCGAAGAGCTATTAATTACTTGATTGCAGTAGCCCTGCTGCACTAGTTAGTAAAGAAGTTACGAAGCACTAGACAAAAACAATGTTTACATCAATTTTATTATACGCTGTCTTAGTCTGTATGACTATCGGCTGACAACAAATTTCACAGTGCATTTCGTCATTCTCAAAACGTAGCCACGAGAATGATTTCAGCCAACTGCGTTAGAACTTTGGTTTGCATCTATTGTGCTCATATTCTTCCTGCACAACCTTTTTGTCTGTTGTTTTCAGCTTTTTTTGAGGAGGGACTGGCTGATCCAGCCACTTTAATAACACCGACATTTTGATTTAAATCATGATCGAAATCACGCTTGAATTTTTCAAGTACCTTTCGTAATGGATTTCAAACGCACAAAAGACGGAATCTTTATAAGGTTCAATTAATAGAGAGTGACAATACACAACAAACGTTCATGTGATTGTGCAACCGCAAATGAAAATTTGACCAATGTCTTGTTTACGACAGTTGAACTACGTAAAACGGAAGTAGCTCAACAGACTACTGACTTTGAAACTATTGGTTGCCCTTCAAAATATTCAGTAGCCATGGGCTACCGTTAGTGTCGATCCCTGATGTACTTACTGACCAAGCACATATACATCATTTATTTTACAGAATGACAATAAAACAAAATAAAAATTTGCTTTTGATATGCTACAAGAAATGATGTATGAAGCTACAGATCATGTCAATATGACTTTATTTTTAATAAATAAACATACAAAAAAAGTGGCACTAGAAATGTTTTACCTGTTACAGAAAACATTGTACAAGCATTAGACTTAACAAATCATACACAGATATAGACTCTATCAATGAAAATACTTCCTGCACTTCATTGTCAAAACGATTTGACAAAGTGCCCAATCACAGTTCTTTATTAAACAACCTCAAATTTAGCTTCTCTCAAAATTTTGGGGATCAGATTTCGCCAAATAGTTTGTGCTGGTTTGATGGATTCCTTTTAATCGTGCCTGAAGATGCACGCAACCAAGTTAAATGTTTTTGATGTTTTGTGTAAATGACCTACTTTTTGAAAGTACAGGTAAGTCACTGCTACAAAATGGTGACACTAATTTAGAAGCTAACCTGGATAATTAAAACTGGTACATAATTGCCAATTAACCATGTGTTGCACACATCTGAGTTATTACTCTGTGAATGTTTCGACTTATTTCTTCAGAAGACATGCCAATGTTTTAACAAAAAAGAAGAATTTCTGGACAACAAATGACTTTTCTTTGCTTGCATTTGAAGGGACTGAAAAAATCGCTTTGACTCAACTGAAATTTGACTTTATGAAATTCAAGTTATCAGAACTAAAAGTACAAAGATATAGAAAGAAAAAAATTGGGATTTGAACATTTTTTCGACTCAAACGGAGTTTCGACTAGGGCAATTTCAAGACAATGAGTTTCAACTGTATACCGAAATTGTGTCATAATTAAGCCAAAACAGCCAGCTTCCGGGCACAAAATTTTGCATTCTGTACATGCCAAAATCGGTTGGGATGCACCATTTCTTACTAGCAGCGGTTAAGGACATGCCCCAGTTAGTATTAATAGCAAAGTCTCGCAACTCAATGAAAGTCCAGTTAGCAAGACCTTATCAAACATGCTGGACAGAGTACATGTGCGCCAAACTTGCTGATGTGTACAAGTAAAGTGGTCAATAGAGTTGTTAAAGTAAGCAGTCAAGGAAGAGGCAAGTTCTGTCATGGGTTATCGCTATTAATAAAGTTCTTAATTCCTTAATGTTATCAGAATGAAGTAATAACAGGTGGCAGTTAATAAGGAGTACTTGGTCCCACTATCACATGGTAGTGATAGCTTTGCACATTTATCTGGTTAATTTACCAGATAAATGTGACCAACAATCCTGAAATTAAAATTTAAAGATGCCCATGATTTTTTTATGCTTCATAATTGTGTGAAGTTTGAAGAGCATCCCACACGTGATGGAGCAGTTACAATGCTGACAACCATCTTCTAAATCAGGGCTCTCGATCTGCCAGATTCGGGGCCGATATTCGGCCCCATTCCCAATGCAAAATAGTATCTTTTTTTTCCCAATTTAGACCCCAAGTTTTCCCAATTCTAAGGAAAACACCACTATTTTTCCCAATTCTAAGGGCCCCCGGCCCCAGTCCCAAAATGGGGTGTGAGAGACCTGTAAATACAATGACCTTGACCCAGCATGTCTGAAACTCCAAGAGTCCCAAAAAATTTTGGTGTTTTATAATTGAGCGACATTCTATGAGAATCTCAATCTCCAGGAATGAAGTAGTCATTAGAACAGACAAACTTTCACAGACGCTGGGAAAGACACAGGAAAACTACACCTGTATAGACTTGTATAGATCTAGAAAATTATACCTCCTTTAATTTGATTATTTATAAACATGTACAAAAATTGCCAAGCACAGCAAGAGAACTGAATGCAGACCAAAACAAAACAAAAAATAAGCTCACCCCACAATGAAACTCCTTTTCCCCTGAAAATCTCATCGGAAATTAATATCTTCAAAAATACTTTTGAACATTTCACTCTAAAATTGATTCAACACGTGTCAGCTAAAGAAGAAGTATGTCAGGGACAGATAGAGGTACATGTTCCACTTTAACATTAACGTACCTACCTGGACATCTAAAAATGAATCACGCGCTGCCTATTACAACAGGATTTCAATGACATGACAAAGTATTGTAACATTTATAATAGTCGCTGAACAGGACAGATTTGGGTGTGTAAGATACTACTATCTAATTGGTCCAATTCCTCACGTTTTACAAGCAGATGTGAAAATTCCCATGTAACTCTAGGCATATGATATGCGTCAAATTGAGAAGACTAAATAAAAAAGATAGCAAATCTCTCCACTAAGATAAACAGACTGATGCATCTCCAAGGAATTAAGAAATCTTTTTGTTGTAATGCTAAAACTGGAAATACTGTTAATAATCCCATCTGCTAGCACTATAGTCTCAACCCCGCCTCTTTTCTGGGGAAAAAGGATGGTTGAGCTAAAGAAAACCAGTTATATAAAGAAATTTCTAACTGATCTGCCAATCCAATCTTTAGCCTTTCAACCAATTAAAAACCTTCCGAAGAAAACAAACCAACATTATGTTTCTATGCTACCAGCAATAGATGAGCACATGTAACTGTTAGTGATCTGCTGTTATAGACTAAAGGTGTAAAAATAAATATATTCCAATATCACTGCTTCAATTATACAGTAAAATTCAATACCTATTGACAACTGTTCAATCATGTACCAAAAGTTTTTGCTAGGTTGGTATTGATAACGCTGCTTCGTAATCATGAGAAAAACTGAAAAAATAGGTAGTTATTGTGTAATAAACCTGTTTTTATTGATATAACTCACACTTACCCTAGATCCAAAGTTGATAACAAATTTTTGAAGTAGAAACTAATTACATGTCAGGCTCTTGATATTGCAAATTCAAAAGTCAGATATTTAAGTTCAATATTGCCTGTTTCTTTTCTTCAAAGCAAAGCACTCTTATCAGAGTACATGCAAGGCTTTTGGAAAAGTCTTCGTGCTCTAGATATTCTTTTGGGTTGATAAAAACAAGGCAAGCAGGGACTCACACAGATATAATCCCCAACCCCTTGGACAAAATGGTCAAAGTGACCTTTGACCTTGACCATCAAAATCAAATTTGATATAGCAGTTGATACATCGAATATGAACCAGACCCGTTAAAGGGGTTCATAAGATATGTCATGGACCCCATCTCTTGTATAACGTGGTTACCATATATCATTTGTATCATTTATGACCCAACATTACATCATCCCCACCCCACCCCCTCCCTTACATAACCAGTGGCAGAGAGGTGTTCATATAAAATTAGGTGAATCTTCCTTTTGACTCCCCCTCCATACAAAAGACTAAAAAAAAAAATCCTGAAATAATAATTAAGATAGTTTACTATCATTGTATATGATTATTCCGTATCTAATAATATAATTTTCTATCATTTCTGATGAGCCTTAAAATACCCTTTTCCTTGTAAATGGACAAAATTGGGCAGGGCAGAGGTTCAAAAGTAGAATTTTTCCTTAAAAGAAAGTAACTAATGAACAGCTAGTAAAGTGGTTCAATAAACATGTTGTATTAATGTTATACCACTGGAATCGATGCATCCTACTGTCGTCTACAGCCGGTTGTTGGCAGTCGTGTTATGAATGGGGAAAGTAGGTCAGCCACTCAGCTGACGTCACTCTGCGAGAAAGAGTTCATCGATTTTTTCGTGTAAGTTCTGAATCATCTTTGAAAAAAGATCACATATTTCCTAATCAGTTTGACGAATTTCAACACTTTTTCATAGTAGAGGATAACGCTCGAAAAATTGTCAATAAAATAGGAAATCAAAAACTTGATCACAGGCTGTAAAGATCAAGGTCGGGAATTTTCTTGCATTGAGTTTGTACACAGCGGTAAGGCATCCCGACATGGCTGTCTGCCAACAGTTTGTGGTAAACTGAACCTCCAATCTCATCGCGATTTAAAAGTTAAAACTAGTTCGTCGTATCACGAACTTTGTAAGTTAAGCACATACTACAATACTGTATATACAGGAAAACAGGACATATCAAAATATCAACAAACTTACCCCAAATAATATTGTTTACTCCGACTCCATTTCGCGCGTAGGCTTGAAGACCCGGATGTACGGATATTTACGCATGCGTAGTAGTTCAACTTTACAATTTGTAAACATAGTAAACGTACAACCACGTGGTTTATCATCTACGTGAAAAATAAGTATCGCTCATCAACTGAGCTGACGTTGCAAGTGCAGCTTTATGTACAGACACTTTTCATCGTGCTATGAAACTTGTATTTTGTTTTTAGCTCACCTGGTCCTAAGACCGGTGAGCATTTGCTACGGCGCGGTGTCCATCGTCGTCGGTATTCCGGCGTCCTTCAAATACTACCGTTTCCTAATCAAAGCACTGTAAGAAATGAGGACACAAACGACAAAAAAAAATCTTGCCTGTGATTGATGTGAATGCTGTATATGTTGTAAATGTTAAATAAAATAAATATTTAAACATAATTTAAAGCAAAAATTTGTAAGAGTAACAAGGATAAAATTGAAATTATGTACATGTCACTGAATATTTAGAATATGCATCAAATATTCATTATTTCACAAAGATTAGTCATTGTTATTCCATTGACCCCTGTTTAGATCATTGCGACAGCAGATGATGATGGACGATAAAAATAATTGATAACTTTAAACTGAGTGGAATGGCTTTTTAAATGTGATGTCCACAATCTATGAATGACAATGTGGAAAATATGTTCCTGTATCAAGTTTTCGTTTTACATGGAAAAATTATAATGGATATATTTTTTAAAAATATTATCACTTGAGTATATTCTGGATGCAGCACCAAGTTATACATGTAGCCTGATCATGGGCCCTTTGTTCGTCATGATAAACACTGAAAACAACAATAACTTCTAATTCGTTTAAAAACCACCTACTTTTTAAGGCATATACATTTGAAAGTATTAAGAAGTAATGCAAAGATTTTGTTCGCCAAGATGTAAAATCGCCTGGTCAAAGGTCTTCCACGTTTTTCTCTAAAATCTTTAACTTTTTGTATAGGCCACAAATAGCAGTGCTAGAGAAAGATGTAAATGTTGTAGTTTCAACGTCACGTGATTAAAGCTCGGCGACACGGAGAAGTAGTAAACTGCAAATTTTATCCGAACCCGTAACCTTTGTTTCGTATATTTAGCAAATATGAATAATTACTTTTTTATCTCACAAAACTACATCCTTAATTAGCACATTTGTCTGAGTGCCACATGCTGGTGTTGTATGGGCATTCCAGTTTTAGTTTTTTTAAGAAATCCGTTTATCCTGAGAAAAAAAATCCTGTAGGCGTTGGGGTTTGAACTCTCTGCCTTTTCTTATTTTGATATTATCAAAAATCACGGAAATATCTGGTTTCTGCCACCAAACAGTCTTCAAGCCAATAATCATAAAACAGACGCATTCATTATATATACTTCAGTGCTGTGAATGCGTAATGCTATTGCAATATCAAATGAATATCAAAGCTTTTCTGCCAACCATCATGTCCTAAATTTACAAGGGATCGAAAGTGCTTATGCTGTTTGCAGTTTCTATGAATATCCTCGTTTTCTTTCAATTGTGAATAGCGGTACATTTATATCTACATGACTGTACATGCTTTTTATTAGGAAAAAAAATCGTGAAATGTTTTTGCAGGATGAAAAATTAATACAGAGGGGAAAAAGAAAGAAAAAATACAACAAAGCCTGGTAGTCCATGCCGATCCTTTGTATTTCATCAGACAATGTGTAAATGAAGAATGAAAGATGTATGGTATTCCTTAATTACAGGTAGGTAACGCGTCATTTCTGGGTGCAATTTGTAGATAATTGATACAGAAACCTAATTAGACGCAACTTCTATTTATTTCGAAGAGCGTTCAGAAATAATTCAACAAACAATAGCCTTTGATACATTTAACCTGATAACAAAACGGTCCTGAAAATAACCTGATTTTCGTGTCTTTTGACATGTCCGTATTTTCTTCATTGTTTCAACCCGCGATATTTACTCTGTTGATGAGCCTATTCACGCTACGCGTTACATTTCTCATTCATTTTAACTTGTGCCCAATCCTCTTGTCGCTGATTTTTGCATATACACCTTAAACCAAAAAAATAGACAAATATATGTCATAATAGATAAACGCGAAATAATTCAATTTTTTTACTATCCACGGGTGTTTACAGGTAAAACAAATAGTGTTGCCGGAGTATCATGCAATATACGGATCTCTTTTTAAAGACATTTTCTTCTGATAAGATACCTTTTTATTTCAGTCGTAGCCGGTGACCTTTAAACGTTCGAACAAGGATAATGCATTATCGTATAGTAAGCGTTAACTTGTATCAGATAAACATGTTTGTGTTATTCTTCTTAAAAACCATGTGATGTTCCATCATAGATAATAACTCCAAAATTCACCGACTACCTATATACGCTGTGTCAACGAAAAAGAAGCGTAGAAAAATATTCTTTGAAAAATGATGGGCAAAGTTATCTTTTTCATGACCATCCAGTTCTTCCAATGGCGAGACAGACAGTTGAAGCGGCTACTGCCTAAGATTCCAACATCGGGAAATGGAGAATTCGGTTTATGAATAATAAAATATATCCATAATAAAGCGATACACGCGCCTATAACGTCAAATTTGTTGTTTTTGTACATATTTTCGGCGTCGGAACATTGGTTATCTTGCCTACTTGTCTACAAACGTGTACGCTCTTTTTATTACGAAGAAAGCCGAGTGGGTCACATGACTTGTCAAATCATTATTGAATCATAGAGGAGCCTTCCAAATATCATTTACTATAATTTCTGCCCTAACGCTGTGATTAAATCTTATCTAGGCTGTAAACACGTCTTCCCAAAATTTACTTTTACAACAATTATGACATTTTTAAGTATACTCATTCCTACAGGGAGATAACGTATGCTGATCTGGCACCAACACCTTATGCCATCTGACTCGACACTTAACCCTCCAAGAATACACACTGCCTGTCAAACAACAAAGATATTTTGTAAAAATGTTCAATGAATAACAGCGGACATTTTCTTTTCAAATCCATACACATAGCTATACGTGTAAATGTGCTTCACTGGAGACCATTACTAAATCGCAAAATGGGTGGTAGGGTGGCGCAGTGGTAACACACCCGCCTTTCACCTAGCCGACCGGGGTTCGATTCCCGGAACGGAAGTGAAAAGGTAAAGGGTCACCTGCCCGACCACGGCGGTTTTCCCCGGGTTCTCCGGTTTCCTCACACAATAATACCCCTCGCGCGCTTGCATCTGGGCCAACAAGAGTGATTAGTATAAGTTGATATAACTTGTTTCGCAATTGTTGAAAATAAATAAAATTTATATTTTATATTTAAATCGCTAAATAGCGAAAGGAGCGACAGAAAAAGAAGGAAAAAAAGACGACAAGAATAAGAGCACTTTAATGTAATTAAGAAAAGGACTGAGAAAGACGATGATGAGGATATAAATCAATTTGATTTACATTATAAAAGTCATCGGGACATGTATTACAAAGAAAATTCGTATAAAAAAAAGAATAGATATTTTGATATATTCTGTTCTTACTGTAATTAATTCAAGTCCTCAGTTGGGTCATGCAAATCAATTTCGATTTTGTTACGTTTACACAAAGTTACGTAATACACGTGTAACAATGGTGGTATATAGTGCATTAATTATGTAGGGAAGTGGATGATGGAGTATTTATTTTCAAACACTGTAACTCTCAGTCAAGCATATTATTCAGGCCTGCTATTAGTTGACATGACTGTGAAAAATGCCTAATGTATTGTGTTAGATGCAGGAGAAACTCGGGCTAACAATATCTAAATGTGCAGGAATATCTGTTAAACGTATAATCTATTTATTATAAAGGTCGCACAAACCTTAGTCTCTGATGAACCATGCTCAAAATCTGAAATATTAAGTGTTATTCAAGTCTGTCACATGTTTTAGTAGTCCCTGTACGAGAAGTTCTCGAATCGCGACGAGAGCACCACTTCATGCGATTTTGTTTCATTCCTAGGAAGACGTCATGGAAATTCAGTGCATCATGATCAGTGACTTGGAAATCGCTTTGATACTGCTCTACATGTTTACTTGGGAAAGTCGATTTTCTTACCGCAAGTCTTTGATATTTTGAAATCATGATTAATGGTCCTGTTGATGTCGGAAAATCGCAAGAATAGATAGTTGCCATATCTGTCGATATTTCGTGATTTTGTGACAAAATTGATATACAAATGTTTCTCAAAAATTGACTAAACACTGTTTTTGTCGATTTTAAATATTATTAGTTCGTACATATTTGAAAAAAGATGAAAAATTCCAACGGGAACGCACTGGTCGCGACATAGTCGTTTGTGTCAACGCGACAAGTCATGAATGACTGAATAGAATTTGCCCAAAAAAGAAGAACCAAGCTTGTATAAATATTGGTTTTCGGTCCCCAGTGGCCCAAAGGGTCGAGGCCTTAAAGGGGAAATTTTGCAAGTTCTTTGAAATACTATTCTTGAATGGATATTGCCTAAATTTGGTCTGAAGCATTCTTGGATGAAGACGAATAAATCTAGTATAAATATTACGTCTCGGGTCCCCTGGGGCGGGACGGACGGGGCCCAATAAGGGAAATAGTGAATTAAAAAAAAAATCCTGCTTTTAGTTTAGTTTAGTTTAAACATATTTTATTGACAATGACATTGACAATAGGATTAGTCAGTAAGTTTTACCAACTTATAAATGACTTCTCCTACAACATACACATAAACATTTACATAAATATGGTCACGTGGTGACATGAAACTATGATAATAGTCTTTTTATGTAAAATGTATAAGTGGACAAAAATAAAGAAACAGACAGAGAGATAAGAACAGGGTGTGGCATAGGGAAAGAGAGATAGAAAGAGGGATGTAGAATGGGAGAGAGAGAAAAGGGGGGGGGGGGGGAAGAGAGGAGAGAGAATTTAAGTGAATCTTCCTGACCTTCCTAGGAATGTTTGGACCGATTTGGCCATTTTAAGGTTATCATCCACAGAGATAT